TACAGGTAGTTGTGTTTAGTATTTAAGTATCATGGTTGGGGTCTAATGAAAACACTTTAAGTTTTATCAAATCAACATATTTTCAAAATTCTCTTTCAGTGAAAAACTGTGATTTTAAATAATCACTTCACATCTTGTTAAGATACCAAATTATTTTGAAAAATTAAATCTTATTAATATGTACTTTATCTTATTATCTAAAACATGTATATATATATATCTGCACAATGAACTGTATATAATGTAAATAATGATGGTGCACTGACAGATGATACAAACTTGACACCCTGAAGCAACAAGAGTTTTCATTTTTCCGTAAAATCTTTAAGCAGCTTCAGGCAGCTTAGGCAGCTTCAGGCAGACAGGTTTCAAGCAACACAAGTATGCCACAGGCTGCTTATATAGAGGGAGCAGTAATGAGGGAGCTAGGTTTGAATGATAAGGAAGCTAAAGTGGAAGGATGAGGGAGCTAGGCTGGAAGCATGAGGGAGCTAGGTTGGAAGGATGAGGGAGCTAGGTTGGAAGGATGAGGGAGCTAGGTTGGAAGGATTAAGGAGCTAGGTTGGAAGGATGAGGGAGCTAGGTTGGAAGGATGAGGGAGCTAGGTTGGAAGGATGAGGGAGTTAGGTTGGAAGGATGAGAGAGCTAGGTTGGAAGAATTAAGGAGCTAGGTTGGAAGGATGAGGGAGCTAGGTTGGAAGAATAAAGGAGCTAGGTTGGAAGAATGAGGGAGCTAGGTTGGAAGGATGAGGGAGCTAGGTTGGAAGAATTAAGGAGCTAGGTTGGAAGGATGAGGGAGCTAGGTTGGAAGAATTAAGGAGCTAGGTTGGAAGGATGAGGGAGCTAGGTTGGAAGGATGAGGAAGCTAGGTTGGAATGATGAGGGAGCAAGGTTTGAAGGACGAGGAGTTAGGTTTGAAGGATGAGGAGCTAGGTTTGAAGCATGAGGGAGCTAGATTTGATAGATGAGGAGCTAGTTTTGAAGGATGAGGGAGCTAGGTTTGAAGGATGTGGAGCTAGGTTTAAAGGATGAGGAAGTTAAGTTTGAAGGATGATGGAGCTATGTTTAAAGGATAAGGAGCAAGATTAGAAGAATGAGGAATCTAGTTTTGAAGGATGAGGGAGCTAGGTTTAAAGGATGAGGAAGTTAAGTTTGAAAGATGAGGAAGCTATGTTTGGAGGATGAAAGAGCTAGGTTTGAAGGATCAGGGTGCTAGGTTTGAAGGATTAGGAAGCTAGATTTAAAATATGGACTAGAGGTCTAGATTTAAAATATTGAAGAAGGAGCTAGGTTTGAAGGATGGATTAGGGACTATAGGTAGCATAGGGAGCATAGGGAGCATTCTCCCCTCCCTCTCTGGTCTCTTCTACCCCCCTCCCACTCCCTCCCCTACTTGCCTTGAATTGTCTTTAGAACTTGATGTATATGGGATTATAAGTTTAAGTGTAGTTGAAAGATATTGAGGATTTTCAAGATTTGTCTCGATGAGAACTATGATTGATATTGATTTATATTGGATAATATATAATGCTAAATATAAAAACAATCTTTATACAACTTGTCAACTTTGTTGGGATCTTTTTCAATATTTGTCACGATGAGAACTATGATTAATATTGATTTATATTGGATAATATATAATGCTAAATATAAAAACAATCTTTATACAACTTGTCA